GTGTGTCTCTGTGTGTCTCTGTGTGTCTCTGTGTGTCTCTGTGTGTCTCTGTGTGTCTCTGTGTGTCTTGTGTGTCTCTGTGTGTCTCTGTGTGTCTCTGTGTGTCTCTGTGTGTCTCTGTGTGTCTCTGTGTGTCTCTGTGTGTCTCTGTGTGTCTCTGTGTGTCTCTGTGTGTCTCTGTGTGTCTCTGTGTGTCTCTGTGTGTCTCTGTGTGTGTCTGTGTGTGTCTGTGTGTGTCTGTGTGTGTGTGTGTCTGTGTGTGTCTGTGTGTGTGTGTCTGTGTGTGTGTCTGTGTGTCTGTGTGTGTGTCTGTGTGTCTGTGTGTGTCTGTGTGTGTCTGTGTGTGTCTGTGTGTGTGTCTGTGTGTCTGTGTGTCTGTGTGTCTGTGTGTCTGTGTGTCTGTGTCTGTGTGTCTTTGTGTCTGTGTGTCTGTGTGTCTGTGTGTCTGTCTGTGTCTGTCTGTGTCTGCGCCTCTGCGCCTGCGCCTCTGCGCCTCTGCGCCTCTGCGCCTCTGCGCCTCTGCGCCTCTGCGCCTCTGCGCCTCTGCGCCTCTGCGCCTCTGCGCCTCTGCGCCTCTGCGCCTCTGCGCCTCTGCGCCTCTGCGCCTCTGCGCCTCTGCCTGTCTGTGCCTGTCTGTGCCTGTCTGTGCCTGTCTGTGCCTGTCTGTGCCTGTCTGTGCCTGTCTGTGCCTGTCTGTGCCTGTCTGTGCCTGTCTGTGTCTGTCTGTGTCTGTGTTTGTGTCTGTGTCTGTGTGTGTGTCTGTCTGTCTGTGTGTGTCTGTCTGTCTGTGTGTGTGTGTCTGTGTGTGTCTGTGTGTGTGTGTCCCCAAAAACCGTTTCCCCCCCCCGCGCGGCCGCCCTCGTCTCCTCCCGCCCTTCTGCACGCCGGACAATATTGGCCTTCTGGTTGCCCCGAAGAGCCACACGCCGGAGCGGACTGCCCTTGCCTCGCCGCCGACGGAGCAAGTGTGCCCCCTGTGCGGCCAGTGCCGACTCCTCCTCCAGGACAGGACCTCGAGGGCGAAGCGTCGGTCAAGAACCGCCAGACGAGCGACGCGGGGACTGCGGCCACCACCGGGGCATCCTCCAGCGGCATGGGCTCCTCGTCGGGGGACCGGGGCTCCTCGTCCGGGGGGGGCAGGGGGTCCTCGCAGGCGGACTCCGAAGAGAAGGGGGAGACGTCAGAGAAGCCCGACTCGTCGGAGAAGGCGGACTCGTCGGAGAAGGCGGACTCGTCGGAGAAGGCGGACTCCGAGGAGAAGGCGGACGACTCCTCGGAGAAGGCGGACTCATCGGAGAAGGCGGACTCGGAGGAGAAGGGGGACCTGGAAGAGAAGGTGGAGTCGGAAGAGTCAGGCGAGGGTGGTTCTACTGGGAAGGGCGCCACTTCCGGCGATTAGACCTTGATCTGCACGGCAGCATAGTGGCATAGTGCCGACGCTATGCAATAGTCTCACTTGTTCGAGAGCGGGCAATGGACTCTCTGCTGACACCCAGTTTCGCAGGAATATGTTTCTCTCACGGCGGCGTGGTTTAGCGCCAATGTGTTTCTTTTAATCCAGTCTCAGGCACACCGCTGCATGGTCAGCCCTACAGGTGTCAGGTATGTAGACCTGAGTGCCAGTTTCATGGTAGAAGCAACTGACAGTCAGAAGGTCAGTCACCCGCTTTCTAACTCAAAGGCAGTTGTCTGCCACAACTTTTTCATAGACTCGCGGAAGTGAGGATACCGTACGCATCATCGTCATCGTCCTGAACATTATCAGCACCATCACCATGAACAGCAGCAATCGAGGCAGTTGCAGCAGCTGTCTGCATCAGTAGACATCCACGGCATGAGTACGCCAGATGGCGGAGTTCGTTTGCAATTGGGCTAGCTGTCTTATGGGCCGCCCGCTACCGGGAGCTAGTCTGCAGCGGACACCGCCGTGTGGCACATGTGGCACATTGTGAGGTGGTCGCACGCGGTCAGGCGCTCTGCTGAAGCGACTGATTGCCTTCTGGCGACCCTCACGCCGCTGACTTACTTCGTAACCTCCTCTAACTTTTTGGAACGCCACCGCTTCCTTACCTCGGCCTACTCTCTTGCAGTCCGAGGCTTTGGCATGGCCCATCGCGCGCCCGAGCGGCAAGCGCAGACTGGTAGCACAGATCCGCTCGAGCCTTCGATGCTGTCCCAAACTATTTGGTTTACTCAGCTCGTCTCGTGGATCTGCCGGCCGTTCCGGCTGGCGGCCGGCCCCAGTCCTGCGTGCGTCGCTAGGTTCACATGGAGCGGCGAGTATAGGGAAGCGGTGTTTGACGAGGACTTGTCGACCTTGGGCCGACTCGCAGACGGCTGGTCTACTAAACAGGGTACAGATTGAGGTGCGGAGCAGCCAAGCCAGATGAAGAGCCAGCGAGCAAGCCGGGAAGGTTGCAAGCAATTGGAGCCCGCAGAGCGGGAGCCTCGGCGGCACCCCCTCTTGGAAATTTACCCCGCAGATGTGGCGTTCGGGCATGTCGTGGGTCCGTGTGGGAGACAGGGAGGAGGAGGAGGAGGAGGAGGAGGAGGAGGAGGAGGAGGAGGAGGAGGAGGAGGAGGAGGAGGAGAATGAGGACGAGAAGGAGAGGAATGAGAAGGAGGACAGGGAGGAGGAGGAGGAGGAGGAGGAGGAGGAGGAGGAGGAGGAGGAGGAGGATAAGGAGGCCTCGCGGGGGCCCTCTTTGGCGCTTCCCTGGGGCCTCTCGGAGCCTTCTTGGGCCGTCTCGGGGTGCTCTTGGCCCTCCTGACGCGTTGGGAAACCATCTGGGGGGCCTCTCTGGGCCGTCTTGGGGCGCTGTAGTGCCGACTTGGAGGTCTCTTGGCCTGTGCTGGGGCCCTCTTGGGGCCGTCTTCGGGGCCATCTTGGGCCATCTTGGAGCCCTGCCCGTCTGGAGCTTCGGGCGCGCGCGGGCGCCTCTTGGGCCGCCTTCGGGGCCCTCTTGGCGGCGGGCGCGAGCGCAGGCGCTCGAGGCTCCCTCCGCGGCGCCCTCGGCGCCTTCGGCAGGCTCCGCGCCGGGCCTGGCGCCGCTCCCGCTCGAGGAGGGCAGTGGCGCCGTCGCGGGCGGCCTCGGCAGGGGGGGCGGCGGTCTCCTAAAAGCCCAGGCCCGGGCCCGCGGCGGGACGGCCAGCAGCTTTGGCGCCCGCGGCGGCCAGGCCAGCCCGCAGGACGAAAGGGCGCCCGCCACCCGCTCGCCCACGGCCCCGCCGTCGGAGCTGCGGCTGGGAGCTCAGGGAAAGCAGCGTGTCGCTGCGCCGGCTCTGGCCCACCACGCTGCGGCGCGCAGGCGCTATCCACGCCCCAGTCCCCCCAGGCTTCTCAGCGTGCCGAGCCTGTCTCCGTGCCGTCCGCCCCGCAGAGCGGAGCGGCACGCGGTGCGCCTGCAAGGCAGGGCGTGTCGCTGGGGCCGCCGGGGCGGCAAGCGGAGCAGAGGCTCCCGACCGCACGAGGGGGCTTCGGCCGCCCGCGCGCCCGCGGCCCCCACTTTCTGCCCTGAGGCGGCGGGGCGCTCGTCGAAGGGGGGGGCGACCGCGGGCGAGCTGGCCAGCAGCCTTGGCGGCCGTGGCGCTCGGGCGGCAGGCCGGGAGCGGCCCCAGCCCCAGGAGCTGTGGCGCACCGCGGCTGCCGCTCCGCGACCACGGCGGCCGTGTCGCGCGGGGGAGCGTCGCTCGCCCTTGAGGCGGCCATGACGGCGGCCTGCTGGTGGAGCGTGACCCAGCGGCCACTTGGGCGCGCTGGGGCGCGGCAGCGAGCGAGCCACCCTGCCGCACGGGCCCAGCCGGGGGCGCCCCCGGGCGGAGGCGGGGGCGCTGCTTGGAGGCAGAGCCTCGTCGGGAGCTGTGCCATGGCGGGCCGCCCCGGCGCGCCCCGAGAGGGCCCTGGGCCGCCAGGAGGGCAGCGCTGTCGGCCGGGGCGCTGCCCTGGCGGGAGCGCGGTGGCAGCACGTCCTCGGCGCCGCCACCGCGGGCCCTGCGGGGCGGAGCTGCGGCAGGTCCCGGCGCCCGAGGGCAGAGGCGAGCGGGCCGACCGGGCGGCGGGCCCCCGGGGGCGACGGGACCCGGGCGAGGGAGGAGCGGCAGCGGCTGCGCTTAAGTCGGGCGTGTCCCCCTACAGGGGGGATTTTCGACGAAAAATAAGAAATACCCCAGAAATGCCCCCAAAAGGTCAAAAAATATTCAAAGCTAGTCCCCAGACTATGTTTGGACTCTATTTTCACAGATCTGCTGACTGGTCTATGTACGTTTCTTATGGGTTCGGCGAGAAAATCAGCTTTGGGGTAAATCCATTCTGCAGTCGATCCCCAACTATACTCAAGCCCTTGGCGGACTGGCCTGGCGCGACCCATGGGCCCCAGCTCGTGGCGGAACGGCCCGGGCCAGTGCTCCCCCGGCGCAGCTTGGGGCGCATCGATTCTGGAGTCGACCTCCCACTCGAGGCTTATGTCGGGCGTGTCCCCTATACCGGGAGATTTTCGACGAAAAATAGAAGATACCCCAAAAATGCCTCCCCAAAGGTTAGAAGATACTCCAAAAATAGTCCCCAGACTATTTTTGAAGTATTTTTTGATTATTGTTGGGGATATTTCTTATTTTTCGTCGGAGATCCCCCCCGTAGGGGGACACGCCCGACTGAACTCGAGGCCTGGCCGTGCCGAGTGGCCACGGCCCCCCCGGGGGGGCGGAGGCGCCCGGCGGGCTCCGATCTTCGAGCCCCTGGCGGCCGGCAGGGGGCCCCGCGGGGGGGGGGGCCCTGCCGGGTGGTGGCGCGGCAGGCCCCGCCCCGCGCGCGAGGCCTTAGTGCGGCGGAGAGGGCTCGGCGTGCGGTGCTGGCGCGGGGGGCCCCCCGTGCCGTGGCTGCGGTTGACTCGGCCGGCGAGCTGCGTCGCGGGGGCTCTTCCAGAGGGAAAGAAGCACACAGACACAATGAATCGTCGATCCCCAGGAAAGTATGGGAAAATATGGGACGTGGGGGGGAGACAAAAACCTAGAAAATACGAGGAAATATAGAGAATCCTTTTATGTGTGTGTGTATGTATGTGTGTGTCCCAGTTCCCCTTCAGCTCTGGGGGCACCACGCTTCGAAGGAGAAGGAACAGACATTCATAAGCTCTCGGCGCTCCGCGCGGGTTTCTTCGATCCGCGCTGGGCCCCCCTGGCGGCGCCTTCAGCGCCGCCCCTGGCGCGCTCCGCGCGCCAGGGGGGGGGGTCCAGCGTAGATCCAAGAAATCCGCGCGGAGCGTCAAGAGTTTATGTTTATGTGTGTTTTTTCATCTTCTAACGCTGCCCTCGTCGGGCCTCCCCCGGGCGCGGCGGGGAACTCTGCCGAGGTCTTCACCCGCCCCCAGAGTGCGCGTGGCAAACCACACCCTTTGCAGACCACGCCCTTCTCGGAGTTGTCGACCCGTGGCGATCTGCTGACCCCGTTGTGAACGAAAGGCGAACGGGTGGTCCGCGAACCACTCGGTGAGATGCACCGACTGAGATGGAAAAGCAGCGACTGATAATTTCTCGCTCGCATTTGAACTGATCAGGCAGCAGAGAAGTACACGGACAGACTGATTGCAAAAAAACCTGACGTAAGAGGGCGCGACATCGCCGGCTCGTCCTGTCATGGGGCCCTCGTAGAACCCTCTTGGGGCAATGCTGGTTCCTCCTGAAGGCCCTATCGGGGATTCTTTGGGTAATCGTGGGGTCCCTTGGGGCATCGTGGGGGGGCTCTTTGGGGCTGGGTGGAGCCCATGAGGGGGGCGGTTTGGGGCCGTCTCGGAGCCGTCCTGAAGGCCATACAGGGTAAGATTGAGGACGTCTTGGGAGCTCTCGTGGGCCACTCACCGTCGTCACCACCGCCGGCGGCGTCATCAGCGGTCCGTTGTGACGCCCGCGCGAGCTTGCGGAGCTCGACTCTGCTCCTCCTTCTCCTCCTCCTCTTCCTCCTCCTCCTCCTCCTCCTCCTCCTCCTTTCCCCCTCTGTGCAGGACCGGCTGCGCCACAAGATTACGCTACCGAGGAACCCCACATACCTATTTTATTTCCAATGTGTACCATCGGTGCTTCTGCTGCTGCTCCTCCTTCTCCTCCTCGGTGTCCTCCTCCTGCTGCTGCTTCTGCTGCTGCTGCTTCTGCTGCTGCTGCTGCGTCTGCTGCTGCAGCTGCTGCTGCTGCTGCCGCTGCTGCTGCTCCACCTCCCCGTCCTCCTCCTCCTCCTCCTCCTCCTCCTCCTCCTCCTCCTCCTCCTCCTCCTCCTCCTCCTCCATTCCTCCATTCCTCCATTCCTCCATTCCTCCATTCCTCCATTCCTCCATTCCTCCATTCCTCCCTCTCCTCCCTTCCTCCTCCTCCTCCTCGTCCTCCTCCCCTCCTCCTCCTCCTCCTCCTCCTCCTCCTCCTCCTCCCTCCTCCTCGGCACACTGCGCTAGCGGGTCAAGTGGCTCGTTCAGACTGTAGCATCGTTCGCGGCGTCTCCCATGGGACCAAAGCAGCATGAGATCATCGGTGCGAAATGTCTCTCGTGTGGTGCTGCGAAGTGCAACATACCGTGGTACAAATGGTGTGCGAATTGTTGGGCCCCCATTCCGCACGTTTCTCCTGGCGCTCCTCGCGATCCTGGGGGTGTGTGGCAAAGTGGCCCAGCAGTTCCAGGCCCAAAAGGTTCTCACAAAGGTCAAGGACCCAAAGGTGGTGGACGTGGCAAAGGCGGGTTTGGGAGTGGCGGAGGCGGCGGCGTCGGGGGAGGACCTGGTGGTCGTGGAGGCGCTTTGGCTCATCCTGCGGACCCGTCGTCCCTCCTCGCCCAGCTTCAGCTGCTCATGGGTCAGCTCAAGGACGATTTCCCAGAGCGTGCAGCAGTGGCCAGCTCCATCGCGGCGTCGGCTTCAGCCATCCGTTCCCAGCAGTCTGAAGCTCGTCCCCTTCGGCAGCAGGCATCTGAGGCTCAGCAGGCTCTTGACAAGAATGTTCGCGCCCTCAACTCGCTCGACTCCCAGATCGCAGACACCGAGTCGCGCATGGCGGAGCTCAAGGAGAAGAGGGCGGAGACCGCAACCCAGCAGGTGCAGCTCAAGGCCAGGTACCTGGAGCTGGCGGCCAAGGTGGCCGACCTCCCGCCCCCGCCGCAGGCGGAGCTCCAGGGGCATTTGTCCAATTTCGACAGCGTGCTGGAGTCTGGCGACCTGGCCGCAATTCGTGAGGGCTGGGCCAAACTCAAGACCAGCTGCCAATCCGTTGCCCAGAAGGAAGCCGCAGGCAGTGGAGCTGCTCCTGCTGCTTCTGACAGTGGTGGGGGGACGGGTGGTGAGGCTGGGGTGGAGACGGGTGTACCCACTCACTCTGATGAAGCAATGCCTCAGGTCGAGGCTGCGGACTCAGAAGCTTTCCAGAACTTTTTACATGAATGGCAGCAGGCACAGTCGGAGGAAGTCTCGAGTGAGTCGAGGCAGCGCGTCTCGACTTTCATCGAGGCAGCGGCCAAGCGTGCCAAGA